ATAAGGAAAATAAATATTTTTTCTTTACTAGGTCGTGAAAACTGGTCTTTTTTAAGTAGGTATAACGCTAAAACTCTTTCTGCCAATTTGGAGTTAAGTCAACTTTTACTAGTGGTGCGATATACTAGAAAGACATTACCATCATTTTTGGCAGCCGAATAAAATAATACATGAATGTTTTAGACGACCTTACGAGCTCGTGATGGTACGTCGAGGAAATGAGCAAACAAAATAAGCCGGGCATTATTTTTTGCCCACAAATTAGTCATTGACATCGGTTTGCAGCACTTTTTCATCGTGCGATGCTATTGAATGCAATCTATAGATATATAGATAGATAGGCGAAATATAAGACTCTTTTTTATTTTTATTGACGTGCAAAATCTAAAGGTAAATATTACAAAATACTCGTACGTACATGGTATTCGAGATTATTGGGTGTTGTTGATAAAATGTAATACCTATAAGATGTGATAATGATACAATTGGAATGACAAAATTATGAAATATATATTCTATATAATGACTTTTTTGGACTTTTCGGACTGTATTTAAGGAACTGAACAATTCATAAGTTTTTTATATTTATACTCGTGCCAATGGTCGTAGTATTTAGGCCCATAATACGTTCAGCCAAAGCAATTACAATATATAATACTGCAAAACTCATTTATCTATGAATGGGGTTAACGTGAAAGCTATTAATTTATTATTTAAAGGACCAAAGATGCTATTTTTAATCTGTGTTAGTTAAATACTACAAACACTGATAGTCCAGAGATTACCGGAGGAGACTTTGTACAAAACTCGTTTGCTTGGGCACCTCTGTTCCATTCGTGTTTCTACCGTGAAGCAGTTGTGTTTGCATGGCTGTGTTTCGGTTTGAAGGATGGTATATGGCAGTGAATTTACAGGGTACAGAGGAATAACACCTGAGTTCTCAGGAATGGCAACGCATGGGGAGTATTATGGAGGAAACAGTATACTCTGTTATGTTTATGGTACTGTTCATATCTATAGGTGACGGTTATCACTTTCCATCAGGTGGGTCATCAGCTTGTTTGCCGATCTAAGTTGTATAAAAAAACTGATAGTCCACGCTCGTTTCCCATTGAAGTTTTTTTAATGGTTGAAAATGTAGTGGTGTTCCCATCTATGCTTACAGCAAATGACGGGGCACCAGTGTAAGATGAAGCGATGAGAATGAAGTCAGGTCAATACACCCATCGTAGCGAATTCACTAGGATTTAACTATGATGATTTCCAGGGAGGAATGCGTGGATGTCGATCTAGTAGGTTATACTGTTAGCAATGGAGACGAACTTCCCCATCACTAACAATCCCTCCCCCCATTGAGGTAGGGAGTAACAATACAACGCCAAATATTCCAATTCGGATACGCCGGATCATTTATAAATCTATTGATTCGTCAGTTACGAGCACTTTTAACTTGGTCTTTTTCAACGAGTCACCTTTTTGGACGATATATTATTATGTCCGACTAGGGCGGCCTCTACCGATATCTCCAGTCAATCACCCTTGATATCTCTTTCGTAATTATTCTTTTATACGTATAAATAAGTACGTATAAATAAGTTATATAAAGACGTCTGTTCGATAGAACTTATCTAAAACCCTTTAAAACTGTTTCTGATTTAAATCAATGAATCAAGAGCTCTCCAGAACAAAGTATCTACGTGTCCGTAATGGATTCCAGATGTTGTTTATCTAAATCGCTCCAAACTTATTATTATTAGTTTCGCTTTAAATATTGCAACGACAAAAGTTTCTGGATTTTTTTTGTCCATGTTACTCACTGGATCATGTAGGTTTTTATAGGTAAAAGTGAAAAAAGAAATTATTTTTGAGAAACAACAAAATGTAAAGGATTCGCATGTCATTATTTTAATTACAAGAAAGTTATTCAATCGATTTGAACAATTGCTAAATTATTCTATACAGTTTCAAACAGATTCAAAACTCCACAAGTATTGCTTTAATATCATGTTGAATATCGTAAAATATCTATCATGTAACAGCCGTAACGTACTTAAAGTACAAACATCGTTTTTTAATAAGTAAACATGAATTTTTGCCAATGGGAAAAAAACATTTATAATTGGAAGATCACGATTCAAATTAGTTTCGAATTACAAGTTATTGTGAACTAGCGACCCGCCCCGGCTTCGCACGGGTGCAATGCTGATACTAAATAGCGCCGCCGACTCCCCATTACATTAGAAACCTCTAAAATTATCAGTGTTCCTCTACTATATTATGCATGTATTATACATATAAACCTTCCTCTTGAATTCCACTCTATCTATTAAAAAAACCGCTTCAAAATCCGTTGCGTAGTTTCAAAGATTTAAACATACATAGGGACGGACAGACAACGACAGCGACTTCGTTTTATACTATGTAGTGATTACAAATTAATTTTTTTTTTAAATATAAGCATGTTTGTGTAAATATGTTGGAATGTCGAAAATTAACTTTTGATTAATTTTTTTATTGTGTAACCAGCCTTAAAAAATCAACATTGCCGTCATGCATAAAACGAATTTAGTAAACTAACTCCGGCTAAACTATTATACATGAAAAGAAAAATAAAACTTGATGGGCACAATGCACCATTTTAGTCGAAACAAACATTAGTCTGTGTAGGCAATTTAAAAACTTGGGAACCCAAAGTTATTGTAAGTAATGATCAAATCATGAAATAATCATTGCCGTATAGAGGCAGACCTTACGACCTACGCGATGCCTAACATTATGCTATAAGCTGTGTGGGTAGACAATAAACGATACAATTTAACGAACTCTAATTAGAATGTGGCGTGCAATAAGAAAATAAATCCTAGACGCAATTGTCTATGGTCTTAAACGACCTTCTTTGTGATGTCGTGTTTCTTTCGATTCAACAAAATTTTTGTTTTGTCTGTACAAGTAAAATATTCGTAGAGGAATTAAACCTCTCGCTAAAAAAGGATTTAATACGGTATATTTTTTTTATAATTATGATTCTTAAAAACATTAAGAACATAACAGCAATATATAAATACTACAAACACCTAGATTCGAAATAAATATATACAGCGTTTAAATTTATCTTTAGCAGTTTTTTCTCCATTTTATTATTTTTTCTGTTACGCCTTGATCAAATACAATTATAAATATTCCTATCCATCTTAAGGTTGCCTAGAAGAGATTGCTATTTAGCAAGGAGGCTTCCGATTGCCTCTTTTCCTTGTTTTTATGTAACCTTAAGGTTATGTAATTAATTATTCGTTTTGTTTACGCGTTTCGACAATTTTAAACAATATGTATACATATTGTTTAGAATTATCGAAAAGTGTAACACAGCCTCGAAAAATATAGACGCGTCTACTTTTTAAAGCCAGTTAATTAGATTTTATTCAACTTGCTATGTAAGCAAGCTATAAGGTTTTAATGTCTCATTCTCATGATTTCATATAAAATATACGATTACCATAACTCGTTACAGCTTACAAGGTCCGGTCGTTAGTGACACTACGGTGACATCACTATGCGTGAATTAGGTAAATATGGCGCGCAATCGTTCGTTACATGAGGATGTATGATGTATTCCAACTGACAATGTGTACGTGTTACGTGCTGTTCTTTTTTCAATTCGAAAAGTTTTTTTTTATCGAAGCGGTTTTATACGCTTCAGATTCTTGATGAGATGTTTAACTTTTTTTAATAGTTACTAGTTTAGTGGTTGTCTTGTTGAGGATATTCGTAGTTAATTGTGGTTATGATACAATAATATAAAGAATTCGATGATATCTTAAAATTGTTGTAAAATTATTTATTCAATATTAAATTAACTGTATGCTGCGTATAGTTAAATTTAAAACCTTTTAAGTCACTTTTCATAAATTTCAACAACGATAATTTGATGGTTAAACTCTTTACCATTTTATACTTATTCTTAATATTTATTAACTTAGATAATTCTGTACTATACTTTTGCATTGTTGCAGTCTACAAAAATACTTAATTGTACACACTACCTATTAATAATATATTTAAGAAAAACAATGTCAAAACATCCAAATACACAGCTATAAATTTCCCGCCTAAAAATATTAATAAACCCATAGACAAAAGTTGTTACACCCCTACTTCTTTAAATATTGTAAAAAGAGTCGTGTGATTTGTTGTTTGATTTGTCAAATCACATTCTTGATTGACATGATTGAGTGATTTGTCAAATCACATTCTTGTACAAATAAAAAATTTACATAACAGCATATTCCAGATTTGTAAATTAAATATACATATATGTATAAAAAACTGGAGGCACTGCAAGTTGTATAGAGAGAATAGTGGGCTAGCGTCACCGAGTTGGTAGAATTATTGCATGACCTAACTATTTTTTTAGCATATTTTTTGTGTCCTTATTTAAGATAAAGATAATAATATAAAATAGAAGGATTGATCGTTTGTTTGTAATGGATAACCTCAAAAAGTACTAGGACTAAAAACGTTTTTTAAAATTCTTTCACCTATAGGAAGCTATATTATCATCGAGTAATACATATAGGCTATATATTATATTCGAATATTCTAATAACTCGTACGAAATCGGGCTGGATCTTTGGTTTAACATAAAACGTAATAAATCTGAGTAGATGTCTAATTTTATTTATTGTGTTAACATTCCGACAACAACTGACAGTGCCTCCAAGTCTTGACGATTGACTTTCATCATTGGACCGTAAGGTAACATTACAGTAAGAGACATTTTTAGTAAGTGCACCAAGTTATGAGGGTTATCATGGGAGGAGCAATATACTCTGTTATGTCCATGGTACTGGTTCATTCTAGATCTGCTACCTGGCTTGCTATTCTAAGTTGCACAAAAAAAAAGTTGGAACATCTTGCTAAGAGTAGATGCTGTAACTTGACACTGGGATGTTACATTACGGTCAAATTCAGTTGGTCGTTAGCTTAAAAGAAATAGTACTTACCAAAGTAACAATGTCTCCGGGGTTGGCGGCGGCGATCCTTCTCAACCTCTCATATAGCATGTCCAACAGTCTCTGGTGTTTAGCGTTTATTTCGTCTAATTCCCTCGCCACAGCCTCGGCTCCTGTTGGTAGCCGCTCAGGGTCAGGACTGAGGCCTCTGCTGCGCAGCCTTTCCGCCATCTCCACGTCAGCCTGCCGCCGCAGCTGCTTCATCTCCAGCGAAGGGTGCACCTCGTCGCACAACCATTCGGCGTACCGCTGGCATCTCGACGAGTGAATCTATTTCGAGTTAGGTTCGAAGCGGGTTAGGTTTAATTGTTAGTGCCTTTACAAACTGTTTTTTTTTTTAGAATTAACCATACAATTTTATAGTACTGGCCACCACAAGCCTTTAAAAAATACACTGAAAATAAACTACATAATTGTAACGCAAATATTGGTATTATTAAAAAAACAGTTTGCTTGCATAAATAGATTAATAAAATTAGGTATATTTTTACCTTCCAAACTAAACCTTGCATACATTTCATTTTTTGGGCATGGATAATCGTATAATAAACATTCATACCATTCGTTGGCAAAGATACTCTATCACACAGCCACACAAATATTTATTACTGGCAATCAAAAATTTAAAGTCCAGCTTAATGGTATCCCATAGCAAATCATGCTGGAAAAATGTATAAAAATATGCCTCTATATTCATTAAAGATATACAAGCGTGCCACGATGTGCGTGTGCTTTAAAAAATATTTGATAAAAAACCCAATAATCGTGCATTTAAAACGCTCCCCAAGCAATATAATACATTATTTTATGCCGAAATAAATCTTGAAAATTAACCCATTAATAATACTGTGTGTAAATCATAAACAAAGTATAAAATTAACCTGCAATCGAAACACTAACAATGACTATTTACTCAAAATGACAGCACAAAGAAGTTTTTTTTTTTAAAGTACTAATGGCGTCTAGCAAACTTAAACGCCAAAACAAATCATGCAAAGCTATGTATATTGTGGAACAATGAACTCTAGCATATAATGAATACAGTATGCGCCTATATAAGTCACTGGTTACAGGTAAGAAATTAATTTGAATTTCAAATTGGCGGTTACTAAAACGGACTGTCTGTTTGTAAATTTAATATATTACGCTTCACAATTTAGTCACAATGCGGAGAGCAGTAATATATTGCTCTTTTTCCTATAAAATTATATTATTCAATCACACAGACATCCCACATTCAAAGATATTTTTGTGTTAGTAAAAAATATTGTGAGTATAGATTATGACATATGCAGTCGTTACAATAAAGGGCGGAAGCGTTATTTTATTTTTTTTTTTTAGTGCGAGCGAAAGCAATTCTCATGCAAAGGAAAATTCGATGTAGTTATAGATAGAGAACCTCTGCAAGTAAAAGGAGACCTCGAAACACCCGAAGAGAGAAACAAACGACCAAGCGAAGTCGAGTGATGGGACATAACGAAACGCTGGACTAAACGAGACCCTTTCAGAAACTTTCACAACATATCACCTGACTTTTTCTAATGGCATTCCGGGAAATAATATGTATTTTGAATATGAGAAAAAGTAAACTTAGTTTTTATAGAAATGTAAATATTTCAAAAACCCCATTACAGCTATTAGTGTTTCGTATCTCTTTACAATGTAATTTTGAAGAAAGTGACAAAACACTTATAGCTGGTAGGTTGAACTAAAATTTTAGAACTATAATTCTTACAAAATAAAAATTAACAAGTTAACATAACATATTGGACTAAAAAATAAAATTGATATTAATTACTTTGTCATTGGTGTTCCGTCTAAAAAGTTAACGAAACTACTATTCAAGAAAAAAAAGTTGACATTTTAAATGGAACTTTATGGTACATAAATCATATACAATTTTTTTTATTTTTTTTATCCATAAATTTTTTCACTGAATGCACTTTAATTTGCCTCAATATTTCCCAAAAAGCCACAGATTAAACAAACGCCTAACATTTTTATTAGTATACTGATAATTACCTTCGCCTCCCTTATGAACCTTCCACCGTCCACGTTAACTTTTTCAATCTTTGGAGTCCTCTCAACCACGCTTGTGAGTAGATTCTGTAATTCAACCACAAGACACCCGTAATATTAGAATTAGTTTGTGCAAACACAAATGAACTTTATTAATCGTTCAGTTACAGTTCACAATGACATGCTATTGATCATTTAAAACTTTATAATCAGTTATGAGAAATGAATGATTACATAAATAAATATATCTTTTAAATTTAACGCATGCATATTTGTAAGAGATATAGTATAATGGATCTGTTTTTAGTTAGATTTTAATTTATCATGCAGACTTCTATGTCTGGGTGGATCGAAATAATCAAATGTATTGTCTGATGAGAATAATTAAAACAATCATTAACATATTCAAATTTGATTAAACATGCAGTAAAATATTTTAAATATTTCTTTATAAATGTAGAATGTATGTATTATATAAATTACGAGAATATAGTGATGTTATATTTATATAGATAACATGCAACTGTACCGATGTACAAAAAAATAGTCATAGACAAAGTTCAGAACGATACTTGAATAATATGCATCATCTCCTAAAATAATTTCGCTGAACTCCACCTACTGTTAGAATACGTATTTAAATTAAGAATTCTCCAACCTCTAGGAACATTTGAAGAACACAAATTCTGCATTTGGCTAAGGAATAAAGTGTAAAACAAAGTTTTTATTGTATAGTTGTTGCCACAAGAGTATACAACAACCGTTCTGAGCATTCAAAATAGGAACCTGAAGAAATAAAAAAAAAAAAAAGAACTAGTCGGTACTTAATCTATGATCAATAGTATTTAATTTAGAAAAGGTATAAAATTATAAAGCATGGATCTTGTGTTACATGCTCTAAGACCCATTCTTCTATTCGTAAAAACGAAAATGTCCCTTAACACTATTTATTCTACCCAAAAGAAAAAGACAAAACATTCCAATAGCTAAAATATGTCCATTAAACGTTTTTATGAATAGCAGGGTTATTAAGAAAATAAATCAAATAGGATATTTATTTGTTAAATCAACCGCTCACCCTAGTTGGTTCGAACTGTTCCTTAGGTCGAACTTCAATTGGCGGTTGACTCTGGAGTTTGGCGAAGCTGTCGTCGATCCATTCGGCCTCCTTTTCGAGGCCGGCGTTGTAGTTACGGAGGAGTTGGTACGCCGCTTCGCAACTTCTAAGTCTAAATGGAAAGAGAGAGAAAAAATAGTATATGATAGATAGAATCAAATTGCATGTTCTTTCGTCGGGTACTGTAACTCTTTTACTCTATCGGCTCTATTTTTTACACCGGATTAAAAACCATGCTACCTCTTAAGTTGAAGCAAGTAATACTATGTACAACAATAAATTTTCACCCATTTATTCTATATATATATTATTATATATATTTAAGAGCTGCACTCTTGTCGTTGGAGCTCTTGCCACTCACTACGACTTTCAGCGAATTTCTTTTCCTTTTAATACCACTTGTACTACGGTGTGAAAAGTAAATGCAGAAACCACCACATTATATTCCCTAACAAAAGAAGCACCGACGAAATAGAAAAAACAATCTTTTTTTTAAAAAAGGAATAGGAGCTAACGAATTTGAATCACATCGTATCAGTTCTGCTAGTCTCAATGTTGTATTATTATTCTGTCACCAGATGGCGTACATTGTTATAATATTATTAAAATACCTAACTAGCACTTGGTAAACTAAAAATAGTCAGAACAAACACACAGATAGAAATTTTAGTATCAATTCACCATTATAATATTACGTATGCATTATATATATTTTACATGTAGTCGTAGTAGACAGCATGCATGAAAATTGATCGACTGAGGTTCTTGAAAGAGATAAATGTGCCTATGCACTTTGTAACTTTTTTATTTTATATAATATAAAGCCAGATGCTTACCTCTCAGCGAGCTGGTTGCAAACGCTGTTCCATCTGTTGTTCAGCTGCGAGATTTCCTTGTCGAGTCGCTCCAGATCTATGTGCTTTCCGGATCTCGGCAGCGAGGAGTGTGGCAGCGCAGCCCTGGAACTCTCCACCAGGCGCCTGCAGTTTTCGGCGTCGTCGTTCATCTGGTCGATCTGGATCTGCTGCTTGGAGACCGCCACTTGCATACGGAGCAGGTCTTCGTGTATCTGTTAAATGTGCGAATAAGTAAGTGAGTATCCAAATCATCCTGCATGGATAAATGATTTTGATTTCACCATTATATCCTTATGTTTTATATGTTTCTTTAGTCTTTCTCTGTAAGCCATCCAACTAATGCCGTGAGGTTGCAGCATAGAATAGGTCACCCCTCCCTTCCCCGTGGGTATCGTAAGAAGTGACTAAAAGAACATAATGGTCGAGGGATGAGCAGCAGCGTCCCTCTTGAAACATTACCAAAGCCTAACTGGGTACAGAGGAATAACACCTGAGTCCTCAGGAATGGCAACACATGGGGGGTATCATGGGCGAAACAGTATACTCTGTTATATCCATGGTACTGCTCATGTATATAGGCGATGGTCACCACTTTCCATCAGGTGGGCCGCCAGCTTGTTTGCCATTCTAAGTTGTATAAAAAAAAACTGCGGTTACCAATTGGCCTTCCAAGCGTGGCAACGATTAGCAAAACCCCCCTAGGAAGTACAAGACCTATGTTCAGCAGAGAACAGTTATCGTCAACAATAACAAGCTTAGATATACAGCCATAGTTTAAAAGAAGAAAATAAGGGAGCAACTGCACCATTATTTGAACTTCGACATATCAAAAATAGATTTAGTTGACTTCACTGGAAAATATGAACTTTAAATTATTTTAATTTTAATTCTTATCATATTTTAATAAGGTGCAATATCTTTATACTCGTTTAATCTTTTCAATAGGCGAATAGTGAGAAAGTTGTAAAATGGATAGCTCCACTTACGTCTTTAAGTAGTTCAACGTCGTTGGGCAGGTCACTGAACTGAGCCAACTTAATCTCGAATTCCGATATTGTCTGATGATTTTCCTCCATACTGCTGACGACGATCTCAACAAACTTCAACCTGGGGAAAAAATATTTATAAGTATCTACAAAACTGCTTCCTTTGACATTGACAGCTCATTTGAACAGCACTTGGCTGCAGTTGGAGTAAGCCAAGATCGAATCCCAATCTCTAAATTTGAAAATTTAAGTTTGGAACTTTTTAAAATAATTGTCGTTCACTTTATGCTTTGGAAGGCATACAAAGTTAAGATAAAGAGCTGTCCTCCAATAAGGCACAAGAGATGCAAAGGGAGTTACTTTCATTTAACATGAATCAAAAATGTTTGTAGCAATTGTCGAGTAAGCCATAGTAAAAGTTATGTTTAATTTGAGACTAGATGGCGTTGTGTGACCACTAACAATATTTTCGATTTCATTGTTGGATAAAAAAGTTGTTTTTACTATCATTATTTAAATTATATTAAAATATTAGTTCTGAAAAACATATAAATTGCATATTACCTTTCGACAAACAGTTGGCTCTTGGACTGCATGTCGTTCCACTTGCCCATGACTTTGTCCAAGTTCTTCTTCATGGCCGGTGTCTTTAGAGCGATGCCTTTTAAAAAAAATATTTTAATATAATTAACGTTGATTTAATGTTGGATTAACGATGACTAGTGGTCTCGTTGCTAACAATTAAACCTACCAGGTCGACCTCCACACGGTACTTCGGAAAACCGTCGTGATTAATTTTGGAAAAATTCGACATGAGAAGCCTGACCTAAATTCATCCTCACCTCCTATGATGGTATCTATTATCCAATAATTATCGTCCATAGAAAAATTACCTCTAAATGTGGCCTGGACTTCTTCCACGTCGCTAGAGAGCGCGTGAAGGTTTCCTTCCCAGTCCTTGTGCTGGAGCACGAGGTGTTCCAGCGAGTCCAGGTCCCTTGGTATGTGGCTGGCGATCCTCTCGTGTAGTTGTCGTTCGAGGACTTCCAATCTCTCGAGCAGATTGCTGGATTGTTCGGTGAAGATGCGTGCTGCATTCTTCGATTCCTCTGCAGGGAAATAAAATAGAGAGTTTCTTAATATTATGGTTTCTTAAATGGGCCGGTTGGATCCATGAATTGTAATCTTTTCCAATCAGCAGATCTACATTTGAATCTATTATTAATCAACCCAATCTATTGCCAATGACAATTTTGTTCTGCACTAATAAAACAACAACTAAGAATTAGGTTAGAATTAGTATAAGTTTGCAATAGTTTGCATTAGAAAATTATACTAATATGCATTTATCAGAACAATATGGACTCGTATGTCGCTAGTGTTGTAACTCTAGAGTAAAAAAACGTCTCAATTCCAATATCGATCTATTATTATTTATTCTTTATTGTACACAAAAAAAAAATACATTTATATAATTTATATTAAATAAAGATGTACATCAGGCGAGCTTAACTCCGTAAGAGTTCTCTTCCAGCAAACACTGAGTGGAAAGGAGCATTAATTTTAAGATTGGGATTTATTTTAAGAGTAACAGATCTATTCCAGGTCATATTATTAATGTCTCTATACGAGAGAGAAGACTTTATTGTGGTAACTAAGATAGCAGATATGAACAGGAGTACCGCCAAGTTGGATACGGCTGGCAAATATCGAACAGTATTGCGACCGAAAATGGTACGAAACAAAGAACAATACAGAAGATGATAGAAAACATACTCGTTAGGATGATGGCGGTATAATATATGATATATTCTATGTCTAAAAAGGTCTCTCACTGTGTTATATGGAAGAACAGAGGGAAAGTCTTCTTATCCTTGGTCTTGAAAGATTCTTAATTATCGTTATACATGCCAGATAAAAAAATCCCCTTAAATTTTTGAATCGCATAATTATAACTATTAAAAAAATGAATATTAAAAAAAAAACACTAGTAATTACTTAACCATAAGATTAACTGTTCATAGATATATTTTTATGTCGAAGAGTGATTATAAAATTTTCAAGCAAGACAGTTGTAAATTCCCTAATCTAATATGGTTCAAACAGGTAATATCTGGGGGGAAAGGGATTGTTAGTAATGGAGAATGAGAATCTTATTGCTAGCCTCGCGGTTCTCCCTGAAAACTATCATAGTTAATTCCTGATGAATTCATCATGATGGGCTAACTGGCCTGTTTTCATTCTCATCTATCACCCTTCAATGGTGCTCCGCCAGCGTATCCCGTTAGCGCAAGCGGGGTTAACATACCATTTTCATCCATCAAAAAAAAAAAAAAACAGGTACTATCCGTAATCTATGGTGTAAACAGATCTATTAAGACGCGCTAAACATTTTGACATTGGACCGTGTCCACGCACGTATCGTTGAAAATCTACTGGACTGATTTTGATGAAATTTTGTATAGTAGTAACTTAGTATGTAGATAAATATATAGGATACATTTTACACAAGGAAAATGTTTTGATTTCCATGGAAAAACATAAAAATCACCTGTTAAATTCCAAATGAATGATGTTCTCTCCACAGTTCTTTCCCTTAACACTAGATATATCTTCAGTGACATTTAACAGTATTAAATTAACTGAGTTACAAGGTGCATGACTGGTAGACCTGTCGAGTTAATGATGCAACTGAAGAATAGAGACTCCGTCCGTTTTGCGATATTTCTGTAGAGTAATAACTACAGTATGTCAATTGCGACAAAAGACTGCAAACTAAAATACCAGACAGGCATTTTGTATGGATAAATATTATACTAAATTATTATTAGTTTTCGTTGTATATATTTAAATGCTGTCAATACTTAAAGCATAGTGAAATCGTCAAATGTCTTATAACGAGTTGAATAATTTCAAAAATACAGGAATTCACAAATTTTACTTTTACAATTGTACAAACTTAATATAAAAAATATCTAAGTTACAGTGATTTTTATTAAAAAAAAAAATATTATATATTTTAGAAGAAGTAAACGTAGAAACAGATAGACACTGACTGTTAAACTATTCAGAGATAAAGACATTACCTGTAGATTACAGGCAAAAATATATTAACAGTTTCCAATTGAACCTACTGACATTTTTACACTGTAACAAACACCACCCACTCCTGGTTAGGGGCATGATTGGAAATTGCAGAGGTAGTGTCAATCCGGCCTATCAAAACAAGGTCAATCGAATTTAAAAAAGAAACATATGACATCAGAAAAACACTCGTAAAACTGTACTTAATTATCGTACGCCGAGACACTAATTTACAATTGATGAAATAAATTGTTCGCTTTGTTGTGGTGATTGTGGTGGAGCCATTTTAGTAAAGACGTGTTATTCGTACTCAACTTTGAAAGACATTTGCTTTTGTATGTATTATTATCAAGCCACTTTGATGCCAAATAAGGGTTTAATTTTTTAATTGACTTCAATAAATAGAGGAAAGTAATAATTTCAGTTGCATTTTTTTTTATGTTTATTACCTTACAACTACGAAGCTATAAGTGTAATATGCTCGCAAAAAAAAAAGACACGACGAATTGAGAATCCCCTTTTTTGAAGTCGTTTTTCTAATCTACATTTCTATGTAGCAACACATTAAAGTATGTAGGTGCTGTATAATAATCCTCGGGGGTCAGTAAGCGACCTCCAATTATAGACAAGAGACCGAATTACTGTCAAGAGACAGCGACAGGGTCGCCAGCCAAATATCGCCCTGCAATTGGACAATAACACGGTGACATCACCGCGGAATGCAGCTACCACACTCACGTGAAGTCCCGGATTCATTACTGAACATGGTTACGCGTAATGGGGGTTTTTGCCAGTAGTTGTCACGTTTGGCAGGCGGATGTAAGCGCAAAAAATGTGTTTATTTACGACATCACATTAGAAATCTCTAAATTTATTAATGTTTCTCTACAATATTATGAATGTATTATACATATAAACCTTCCTCTTGAATCACTCTATCTATTAAAAAAAAAACCGCTTCAAAATCCGTTGCGTAGTTTTAAAGATTTAAGCATACATAGGGACGGACAGACAGCGACTTTGTTTTATACTATCTAGTGATATTTCTTCGCCTTTTACGACATCCATGGGAAAGGAAGGAGTGGCCTATCCTATGCTGGGACTAGACATTTAATTAGTACTGACTTTTGTACAAATTTTCTTAAAGAAATCGATATTGTTAGCAACCCTAAAATAACAGGACATAGTCCACTTCATCCATATACGAACTTCAAATTTGTGCCTATAATTTATTTTACTATTCAAGCGATATGAACGCTATTCAAACATAATAGAGTTCAAAATTGCCCAACACTACCAATAGGAAGACTATTTCAAGACAAACAAACAAATTATACTGTAGCAGACTAAGAAATCCTATTAAGAAGCAGGAGGGTGGTGTGTTAAACATATATAAATATAAAGGTAACGCAAAGACGTCTGTATTATATTATTCTGTTTGTGGTAGTTTAAGTAAAATGTAAAGCTAACAAACCCAATTCTATTGGGAGTTATGTACTGTATTTTACTTGAATTATTCACTTGTCGTTGTATATTTTTATTTGTGGTGCTATAAAGAGTTAAATAATAATAATAATAAAAATAGGTAATCTGTACCTTAATAAATTTCTATAGGATCAATCTAGAAACATAATTTTTCAAATCAGTTTTAAACTGTAAATTGATTATGAGGAAACAAACAAAAATACAACCGAACTGAGAACCTCCTTTTTTGAAGTCGGTATAAAATAACAGTTCCACATGTTTATATAATTACAAATTGCTAATTATATTTTTACAGTTAAATGCACACAGTTTTATTTATTACCACAATATCAGCCGTTAATTGATCATTGCTGAACATAGGTCTCTCTCTTATGTTTCCAGTAGTCATCTTTATCAGGGGAGTTGGTAGCTGCTTAGAATTTGGTGATGCTATAAAAGGGGTACTGCTGTCATCTTTCAACCATTAAGTATAATAAAGTAAAACACGCACATACTGCATTTTATTATATACTAGCGGCCCGTCCCGGCGTCGCACGGGTGGACATTTTTAACATTTCCCTTCACTGCTCTGCTCCTATTGATCGTAGCGTTATGAAAAGTATATTATAACCTGCCCAGGAGTATAAAGAATAATTGTACCAAGTTTCGTTAAAATCCGTCGAGTAGTTTTTGTTTCTATAACGAACATACAGACAGACAGCCAAAAATTTTACTGATTGCATTTTTGGCATCAGTATCGATCACTAATCACCCCCGGATACTTATTTTGGAAATATATTTCATGTACAGAATTGACCTCTCTACAGATTTATTATAAGTATAGATATTTTTAATTATTAGTAATTAGATATATTTATTATGTATGAAACAGACAAAATTTACCTCCTTTCCCCTTCGAGAAAATTCGTTTTATTTTCTTCATTTCCGTTTGTGTAAAAACAACTTTATTGCAAAAACAATAATGTACACTTTTGTTCACTTCTAATCACATGAATTAATTCGTACATTTCACAGTTTGCTTATACAAGAATATAAGCAGTGTTTTTTTTTTTATTTTTATTTTCGACTATTATAATGATAAAGTAATATTTAATTAAAAACAAGTTAATGCATCAATATGATTATAACAACAATGACATTTTCCAATCGCAATATTTAATATTTCTTTAGTTTAAATTAAATTAAATCCAACTTTTACGATTTAAGCTTTAAACATGTGTATAATTATCAAAAACATGTTTATGAAAACAGTTATACGATATATTCGTTATGCCAAGTTCCATTTTTATTATTTAGTTTAAGAATAAACATATCAATAACAAATTACAATAAAGTTACTGGCCATACACAATTTAAAACTAAAAACAAATAAATAAACTACTAAGAAAAAAAAAATAAATATATAAATATATATATATATATATATATATATATATATATATATATAATAAATAAAAAAGTTGTAATTATTTACGCGCAATATATCAATACGGAGTAATCAGAGTAGCGTAGTACGCGCACTACCTAATTGCGACTGACA